CTCGAATATTCCATCATTTGAGGACTTCTACCTCGTCATTCCAAGGCAGGTATGCCTTCCTCACTAATATGATTACCATGGAAGTGTGCTAGCCTAAGGGGAAAGAAGCAGAACTTTTTATCTAGTTATGCATGTCAAATTTCTCAAGATGTCTTTCTTAGAAATAATATCTTTTTACCAATAGCGTATAGTGCAATGGTAATGAAATCAATGGTAAAGGGAATGATATGTAATTCAAACCTCTATCATTGTATCCATATAAAAAAAAAGGAGGCAAGAAGAAAGGAAAGTCTTTTTCATCTGTTATTGATTGGTAATTGTAAATGCACAATACTGTAGTGTTGAGAGTTTCTTATCTTGTCGTGGAAGGGTGAACCTGGACAACCACAGGATCTGGGAAGGAATTTTTCAATGTGGATGCTGCTTGAGAGAGTGAGATTTACCTTAGATGGTGTTGAATGCAACAAAATTGGTGTCAGTTATGAAGCTTTCAGTGGGCAGCCCAACTTCTGTGCTTCACCATTTTGGAGTTGCTTGCATAATCAGTTGTGGAATTTCCATGATGTTAGTTTGTCAGCTAGTAGTGGTCTCTGTAATTTGTGTTCCCATTTAAGCCTTTCCTAGTCCCAATTTCTGTACCTTGAACAGATTTCTACAGCTGTTGCATTGAGCTAAGAAGAGGCTACTTTATTTATGGCAGGCCGATCAGAACCGAATTAGGAGGAAGCAGTTGCCACTATATGGCGTGGAAGGAAGGTTTGAAAGGATAAACCAGCATCCAGTTATGTTTCCGCAATTTTAGATCTGATGTTCAACAATATGTAAACTATTTGAGTTTTATAACTGATATGATTCAACTGCAGAATGCAGGGACTCATTCGTTCTCTATAGGAATTACTGAAGTTCTTAACACAAACCTTTTGATAGAACTAACTGCTGATGACATTGAATATGTCTACCAAAGGTTTGATATCTATACTTACTTTTAGTGCCGAAATTTTCTGATGATAAAATGCTTTAACCAAAGGCATGATTTTAAACACTTGGTGATAAGATATTAATATATAGGTTAATGGGTTCAGAATTACGGCCATGGTTCATGGGGTGTTGCTCCATCCGTATGAGCAATGATAGTTGTTTCATGGATTAGTAATTAACTAACAAGCTCGGATTACTTCTTTTAATGCCTAGAGTCCCTTAATTTGTTTACTGTAGCATGATCATTATTGCAAAATATCTAAAATCACTTTTACGTCAACATTTCTTGGCCATATTTACGAGTTGCAGAAAAGAAAATATGTAATCCTAACAACTGGTATAAATTTGTACACTATTGCAGTGAATTTTACTAGCTACAAAAACCAGAAAGAGATTAGGGAGGGAACTTTCTTTGCAGTAGCATTCTTATCATTTGTGCAATTTCAACAATTTTTTAGTTATGGCATTGCTTGTGTGCATCACCATGCTTCTATGTAGGTGTCCATTTGTTGAGCTTCATCTTCATTCTTCTGCAGGAGCCCTGGAAAACTTTTAAGTTTCACCATCCCTACATTTGAAGCCCTTACTCAATTTGGTGTTGCTACAGTCTCTGCTGAAAATATTGGGGAAGTGGAGGCGTCATATAGCTTAACGGTATTTTAAATACTGTCCTGGCATATTTGGTCATGATGCAAAAATGCATAAACACATACATGCTGATGCAATATTTACTCCTACTTGGATCACATTGCTATAAGATAATGATATGTTTTTGTTGATTACTTTCTCTATGTTGATTGTTTTCCTCGTTCTTTGGCCAGTTATTGAGAATCAAACACTAATTTGACATCTTTCTTTCAGGATGCATTTGTATTGAATTATGAAGGTTTTATGCTACGTTTCACATTGAAAGAAATTCGTGTTTTGGACCTTTTTTTTTCAGTATTTCAAAAATGGAAACAATAAAATTAAGCAGTTTCTAGTATCTCTGCAAAATACTATGTTTTGAAATCTTCTAGTATGGGGTGGTTGATGTTGATAGTATTAAAATATGCGAGAAAGTTGGAGGACAAGATCTAAGTCATGTATGTTGGTGAAAGTATTTGACTGGGATGAGAGTTCAAATTAGATGTTGATTAGCACATACCATCATTATGTATTGCTGTATTCATGTGATGCTTTAAGGAGTGGTTGCTGCAACATATTTTACGTTTAGCTATTATGATGATCGTCTCATCCTTGCAGTTTGACTGCTCAAGAGGTGTTTCGCTCATGGAGGTAACATCAACTGCCATGTTGATCATATTTCTAATTATTCACAAAGGATACAATCCGATTTTAATGTTTGAATGGTTGTAGGAACAATTCTTCATTTTGAAGCCCAACGAGATTACAATTCGGTCATTTAAAATTTACCCAACAACTGATAAAGCTGCGAGATATGTATGTGCTGGTAAGGTTACAATGGTTTTATTGCAACTTTTCTTGTCACTGTGTGATAACTAAGGTGGCAGAGAAATCTGAAGTCTCAATTATTGTGCTTTAATCCAGCTATTCTGAAGGACTCTGGTTTTAATGAAATTGATAGAGCAGAATGCCAATTTTTTACTACGGCTACCATCCTTGACAATGGATCACAGGTTTGGGGACAATTACATACCCGGCAACTGGTCGATTTTCTACTCATGCAAACAAGATCTCTATGGAAAATTTCTTATGTGAAGGAGTAAAAGGAGTTGAAACTGATTGTCGCAAAATAATGAAAGAATATAGAAAACGTGTTTTGTCTATGTAAGTGTATGTGTTGCTAAATGGAATAATTACATAAAAGCTGCTGAAACATGATTAATATCTGTCCAACAGGGTTCAATAGTGCATTTGTATTTTCTATGGTGTGGCTGAAAGCTTCTAGATGCTTGTTATGCCATTCAGTGGCGTAGAAGTTTAACTTCTCTTTGATCTGCATTTTTGGGTTATTCTTATAATAATTTCTGTTTTGAGAAAATTAATACGGTCTTGATTAAGGTTTTTTTTTTCTTTTTTCATTTGCAAATGTCATTTATATCTGTGTAGACCTGACAAGAAAAGTCCAGAAAAGGGGGTTATAGAGTGCCGCTAAAATCTACCATTTCATAAATGTTTGATGAGAGTGTAGGAGTTTTCATGCCTAAAAATTTTAAAAGACTAATTTGCTCATATATTAGTGGCAGTACACGTTATCAGAATTTACTTATGTAGGAGGTGTTTAATTTCATCAAATTTTCAAAATATCTTTATAATAACATGACTTGTTTATAGAGTGTTCTTCAGACACTCTGGCTGATGCTGTTTTAGTTTAGCATGTGATTTTGTTTCATCTTTGGTCCAATAATAACTGACGTTGGTGAATTATGTGGCAGTAGACTTAATGATCGAATTAACCACATAAATCCCGAACTTTTTGCAGATTGCTCCCTTTCTAGCACCCAAGACCAGTGTAAATGGTTTCTTCGAATCTATTGAAAACATTTGGAACAGAATTTGGGAAGGCTTAGTAGACTTCATCACTGGAAAAACCTGCAGGTACTTGTCCATTGATTTGGATTAGGATGACTGGAAGGTTTTTTTTTCAAGGAGATTACCTTTTTCTACGCTTGTTGATGTGGACCTGGATGCATTGACCTTAATTTAGCATTTGCATTATTTTATGAACTTAAAAGCTTCAAGTAACATTTATATTGGTTAATTGCACACCCTGGAATCTCTGCTGGCATTGTGGTGAAATAGAAAGTTCTGATTGGCATGCTAAATTTTGAAGGAAGTAGTATTTTTTATTTTGCTGCTCAAATCAAGCCTACTAGATAGAGGGCCATTAGCTGATTTTTTAGCTGTTTAGATGGGCTCACGAGATCTTGTTCTTTTTCTTAGGTCTTGCAACTGTTTTGATATAACTTGTGTTCCTTTTATGGGCAGACAGAAATGCTCCAGTTTCTTTGATTTCAGTTGTCACATACAATATGTATGTATGAGCTGGATGGTGATGTTTGGTCTGCTTTTGGCTATTTTTCCAACAGGTAACAACACTTTTCTTCTTCGAGGAAAAGTAAATTTTATACAGAACTGGAACATTCTTTTCTTATTCTAATGAGGAACGCATACTAAATTGTACTTTTGAGTTCCAGTACTTGTTCTGCTATGGCTTTTGCATCAGAAAGGACTTTTTGACCCTCTTTATGACTGGTGGGAAGATCATCTTTGGACTGACGGGCAGAGAATCAGAGATACTCGGAGACACAATAAAGGTATTCATGTGAATAGACATCATGAGTTGGGAGCGAGACAACACAAGCATAATGCTCATAAGAAAAGAACCACTCATCAAGAGCATAGGCATAGGCATGCAGGAAGGGATACAGAGTACTATCATTATCTTCACCATGTCCGCAAGGACAAGAGTAGGCACAGGGGAAGTAAGAAAACAAGTGTCATGCAGCAAGTCTATTTGGATGGAGTGGGGAATACCAAAGTTGGACATCATGTACACAGAAAGGAGAGAGAACATGGAAGGACTGTTAAAATAACCAGTCAGAAGTGAGCTGTTGGATGATTCACACTTAATGTTGCTAGCTGAGCAGACAGAAAATTGGGGAATGAATCATGTTACCAGTTATAGACATATAGAAGATCAGATTGACTCTCTAGTTATGTTTGTTTCTTTTGGGCGAGTGTTCCTGATATGGAATTCTTTGAAGTGGAATTGCAGTGGTGGCAGCTTTTTTCCATGGAAAGGATGAGACTGATTCATTTACACTAATTGTTAAAACTAAATTATCATTGTGATAAGCATGTGTGTGAGAGTACATATATATATGCCCTTGACCTTCTTTTTTTAACAGAAATTATATGACAAACAGGAAATAAAAGGACAAGTATTTGCATTTGGTCGTGATCAAAACTGTAGGTTTGTCTCTGCCTGAGTGAAAATCAGAGCTTCGTGTTCCTCCCGTACAGTATCCAAATGTTACTTTAACCATGACCCTCTCTCACAGATTGCCGATTGGAATCCCGATGGATAAGATTTGAAGTTTGAAGCTCTCAGTATGGTGGCTCCAGCCATAGGTATGGCTTGCCCTTTATCTTTCTGGTAAGTGATTACTTAGTAGAGTTATGTCTTTCGTCTCTCTCCGTGAGCTGAATGTGATAACCACTTGGAAATTGTAAACCAGGAGTTCGAACAATATTTCCTCCTTTGATTGCTTGCCACCTGAAAAGTTTAAATAATAGTGAAGGTTAGTCTCTCTCTCACACACACATGCACCCATGCGTGCGCACTCACAGACACCCATTGCACGCTTGCAATGAACACTCACAGAAACACACTCAATTGCTAATTTACGTATGATAAGGTTTGCATGCTATTACCTGCACTTTGTGACCAAGCAATGTAGAAATACAGCCATCTGCACCTTGGTAAAATCTGTTCCAACACAAAATCTCATGCCACCACCAAAGGCCATGAAGGTTTTGGATGCACCATTTACTTCCATACCCTGTACGCCACATTAGGTTTTATTATAATGGGAAATACATGGTGATTGTGAGAACTCCTCCTAGTATTGAAATGTCCGCAGGTGTTTTAAGTTGAAAGGATTTTCAAATATAACCCACCTTCCATCTCCATGGATTGAAGGCAAGTGGATCTTCATATTTTGCTGGGTTTAAGTGTACAGCGGGGGGACAGACCATTACTGCCCAACCTGCTGGAATGGTATATCCTGCCATGCCAATTTATATAATAATTCGAATTTCCATAGAACATTCTTTGCGCACTATAGTAACTGATACATGTGTTGATTGCTAGTAAACACGTACCCTTAAACTGGATATCTCTAAGTGTTTTTCTGAAGATCCCTGGAACTATGTTTGCCAGTCTAACAGTTTCATTAATGACCTGCAAAGTTGAGCTCGTCAGTTTATAATATTACAAAAGCTACTATTATGATATCAAACTGGTGACGAAGGGCTTGACCCACCTGAAATGTGAATTTCATTGATTTGTATTCCTTCCATGTAAGACCAGAGTTGGCATTTTCCCGATTTTTTAGAATTCCGTCGTGCTCTTCCTGGCAAAAGTGTAAACATCTAGAGCATATTAGGTCTTGAAGCACAAGAGAAAAGTTATGGAGAAATACATTTTTAATAAATTTCTTACAGACCGTTAATTTCTGTAGCACCAATGGGTGATCCGATATAAACTTGACAGCTAAAGTTAGAGCCAGGGAAGTTGTTTCAAAGCTGGCAAATAGCAGCACAAACATTAAATCCAGAGCGATTTCCTCTGTAAGGATTGTTTTATTCTTTTGAAGTTCTTCAAGCACATAATCAAAGAAATCAGTTTCGTGCTTTCTCGGATTTGCTCGTCTTTCCTGTAGCAGGTTCTTTAGCATTCTCATTGCCTTTTTCCTACCCTGAGAATTCAAAGAGCAGTTAAGACAAAAAGGGAGAATTCAAAGAGCAGTTAAGACAAAAAGGGAAAAAGGACAATTTTTGTTTGGAAATGTGCAGCTTCCAATTGCAGAATTGATTTGGTGCTCGAGTGACAGTATTTTAATCTACTCTGGGTTTTTTTATCGTGGCTCTTGCTTGCCAACATTTTGGACGCGCTAGTTTGCTTCTAGGTCTGAGCTTCTAGTTTGCAGGTGCTCAAGTATTGTTAAGAGAATGAAAGGATGCATTTAAATGATTAGTATGGAAGATTTCAGTTTACCTGTAAGCATTCGTGATATGCTGTTCCTGGAATGTCCAAAGGGAAGGAGATTAATCCTTGTATGAATGCAACAAAGTTCTCCCTGAGATTCTCTGAAGAATTTTCCTGATCATAACTTATCAGCTTCTTCGCCGTCAGATCAAATATCACCTGTAAATATCATAAGTGTTGTTAGATTCAGGATAAACAATGTTTGGTTGCTCTTTTCACGAGAAGAGGGATAGTATGAGAATACAGTTGCAGTTGCTTCTTTTAATTCAACTGATTCCTGATGAGACCATAGCTGTAATCTTTTTGATGCTGTTTGTTCAACTTCAGGGAGCATTTTTTTAAGGCTCTCAGGACCGAAGAGATTAAGCACCATATTCTTAAGATACTTGTACATGAACCCATGTAATGAGCCGACATTTTGCCTTCCAAAAATCTCTGTGAATGTATCTGGATACCAGCTCTGGAACAATTGTCCCTCTTGTTGGAAGATAAAGTAATTGAGATCCGGGTCTGTTGATACTACAACTGGCCTTCCAACCAAATTAGTCCGGAATATTGGTCCATATCTGAAAGCAAAAGTAAAAACTTCAGAACGAATGAAGGAGGTGATGATTGCACAACTTTTTGAACAACTTGGTCATTCACAAGATCTTTACCTTTTCATCCTGTCTCTGACAAATGGAGAAATGTCACAGGAAGTATTAGGAGCGAAGAATTGAAGGGTCTCGCCAATAAGTGGCAATCCCATTGAACCTGGTGGAAGAGTGCCATTGCATCTGGGGTTTCTCCAGCGGTAAACCCAATGTGTGATGCTTATAATAATCAAAGCTCCAACAAACAAAGCCCACATCTGGATCAAATAGAAGTGTCCAAGTACAGAGTACTGGGAAGATGTTGGATTGAGAAAAAGATTTTAATGTTGATAAGCTTTTGACAGGAAAGGAAAATGGGAAGAGTAAGATTACTAGAAATGGGAAGAGTTCGAGGTAGGAAACATGGGAAGAATAGACGGGAAGGAGAAGAAAATGCTGGCATGTATCTCAGCAACCATTCGGAGTCATCTTATATAGGCAGGGCATAAGTTAGAAGCAGACAAAAAAAAAGCAGTACCAGTTTTTGTTAAGTTGCTCAAAAAAATAGTAGTTGAATATAGAATACAATAGCTGAAAATTATTCTGCTAGAGACCACTTATTGTCCCACGTCAACGGTTTCTATCAGTTTGTGTTAAGAGCCTAGCAAGACCATGAAACTGACATGATGTTTCCTCTCTCTGTGCAGATAATTGTTTTTTTTTTTCACTTGAATAAGTAGTCAACGTAAAACAAAACTGAAGCACGAGGCAGAATTTTAGCCTTTTTTAAGGACATTACGCATGAACAGAAGGGCTCTTCCCGAGATTTGAGAGGATAGAGATGGGGGTTCAAAGGATCTGTCTGACCTAACCAAGTGTCTGAAACCAATCTTCAATACGTCATTAAATACGAAAATCTAATGGTTTCACCAGCTTCTCGGAGTCTTCTCAATATCCTTGCTAAATACTCCAGTACCTGTGTGATGTTATATGTTGCCGGTTAGAGATGCCTCACATGTTCTTGTTTTTCCTTTTCTTTCTTAATTTTGTTAGAATTAGATCTCATCCGAGATCTTCTTTAGCTATGTGATCATTTGTTCATATTGTTAAATGCTAATGTCAAACTCTAGATCTTATTGCATACATCACTATTGATCTTCTGTACTGTGCTCTAGAAACGTATACTGTACATGCTTTTGTACTCATCTCTTGGAAATAATTTCCGAGTAGTAGGTATAATAAGCTAGTTGATCAGGTTAACCGATTTCGACACATAGAGCACCGCCCCCACCGGCCCATTGAGCCACGGACTGGACCTCCTTGCAACAACCACTATAAATGTAGGTAGGTTACTGTGAATCATGCCCTCCATTATATGCAACCAGATTATAAAATTCATTTCTATGTGTTACTACAATAATGTTGTTGTATTGAGCGAGCTTAATGGAATGAAGTTCAACTATATAACACCACTGTGGAGACTTGAAAACTTTGTCAGCTAATGGATTTCTTTTTTGTTCCCGAGTTTAATATGCATTGTCACAGCCCATCTAGTGTCATTAAGCTGTAAAGATGCTGCTATTCTGGGCTTGTAGGCACTGTTGTGAAGATGTCGGAATGCACCTTTTTATTCAAATTTTGTTATTATGTCTTGAAGAAAGTAAAGTTTCTCATACATCCCTGTCAAATGATCATATACACTTAATAATATATAAGGATATTTAGGATTGAGGTTGCTTTTTAAAATATTTTTACTTGAAAAATATTAAAATGATGTTTTTTTTTTGTTTTTAAAAATTCATCAAACTGATCCAATTAATTTAAAGTTTTTCTTTTCTCTTATCGGTGATTTGTTATCTGGTTTAGAGTCCAGTAGGTTCTTTAAGAGAGTGGCACTGACACGGATTGTTCAACTGCTTGGAATGGGCATGGAAAGAGTCTATTTGAGGTGATGCGCATCAATGACAGCTCAGGTTGTCATACCATAATACTTTATAAATTATATGCGTTGCTTGCTACGAAGTAAAGTATTCTGTTCTCCCGTCCCAAAATCAAGTTTTTTCCATTGGCATTCAGAATTCTTGTGTCCAGTGGAAAATTGGGAGAAGTAAGAGCTTTCAGGGTCCTACCTGTCTTCACTGTCCAACTTAGGGGGTTAAGTGGCATCCCACATGCAGCAAAGTGTCCACAACAGGGTAATCCTACCACTACATGAGTCCACTACACCTATCTTTCCAATGATCCAACGGTTCATGATCATCAATGTGGATGACCTTCTTAATCTATCAAGCGAAGTTAATTGGTTTATTAGCTGTTACCTCCTTATTCTGATGACACTTGTCTGTGGGCAGCAGGGTGCCTCCCAACTCAGCTGTCTTATTGTTGATCTGCTAGTTTATGTCACTGCCAGCATATGCTATGGACCGTGTACAAGTAATTTAGTTTTGTTTTAACAGGCTATCTTGGGGGGCAATTTTTAGGTAACAAACGGGGCCTAAGGTTAAGTTCCTATTGGGTTTTAGGTAATCTATATATACAAAAAGGAAGAAAAAAAAAAAAACTTTTCTGGACCTTTTTTTTTTAATTTAGTTGAAGCCCAGAAACATGAAGAAGAAGACTTGTAAAAATAAAGGGGCAATCAACTTGTTAATGAAAAGCTGACATGCATGTTGTTGCTTAGTAAATGGTTAACGTAGAAAAATGGATAGATAAGAATGCAGGTGCTGAGTTACACGAGGATGAGAGGATAATGGAGAAAGTTGGTCTTCATGTCTGTGCCGTGCGCCTAGGGAATCAGCATTAACATTTAAATTACACTTTAAGTAAAGAAAAAGAGCTTCCCTGTTCTTCACTAACATTTGGATTCTGGAAATAGGATTATACTAATTAATAGTTAATTGCCCACGCATTACTGCAACTTACGTTTTGACAGTATTATATTAACAAACTCACATCATTATGATAACTAAACCTAATCTCTAGTTACTTGATCCAAACCATGTTTCAAATTAAAATAAATAAGATTTGACTTGTTGTCATGCTGTTAACCTGATGGATTGGCTTTTAATTTGATTTACTCTGTTAAAACTTGTCTGGTGTTTTTTTAAATAACATTACTTAAATGTTTTTTTAATACTAAAATAATATTATTTTGGATTGATAAGGTTTCATCGTCCAACCTATAAATCTAAACGGGTTAAGAATTTTATTTCTTGCAATCTATTTTTATTTAATTATATATTAATAAAAATAAATATTCATAAAAAAGACAACAAATAAAATTATGGAAGAGAAATATTATTTTCTTCAACTTTTTTTTCTTCTAATTAATATATATATATATATATATATATATTAGTTTTGATAACAAAAATGATTTTTTTTATCAGCATCATAGTTCATTGAATAAAAAATAACAATGAAAAATATTTACAAAAACTATAATAATAACTAAAAAGAAAACAATGTTAATTTTTTAATCAAAAAATTATTTTTTTATTCAATGATTTCTTTTTTATTTTGATAAGAAAATATTTTCAGTATTATTATTTTTAAATAAAAACTTATCATGATCATGAATGCAATTTTTTTTTTTAATTCGGTTTAGTTTGGTTTCATTTATTTAGTTTAAGCTTTTTAAAATTAAAATCTAATTAATTTTTTTAATTTTTCTAACTATTTTTTTATCACGATTCAATTTTCTCAATTTAGGCAGTTTTTAATTTTTTTTTCTCACTCCTTATATTTGCAAGGCAATGTAACGTAATAAACTGTTCTGCTCGGTCAAAGGACAAAACCATTTTTAACTCTCGATTGTTCATCAATATTGTTAGCAAATGTTAGAGTCTGTCGTCCATACATAAAATCCGCTTAGATACCCACAGAATTTGGAAAGACTTCATGGTTAGGAAATAAAATTAATGAAAAAAAATAAAAAAAATTCAAGTTAATTTGTTAAATTTAAAATCTTTATTATAAAAGTTTGATAATTAAATAAAAAAATTTAACATTAATAAAAAATTTAAAAAAATTCATT